TTTCTATCAAGCCTATGTGACAGATTGTCGGTGAGAACAGTATATCAACTTCAGCATTTGGCATAAAAAGTGTTAACAAGAAAATAAACCAAAAGAAAACCTCCAAGCTGTTCTCCACTAGCGAGTATAGGAAAGCAAGAATTTGCTTTAACAGCAACATTAGTCAGTTGGCTGCCAGTGGTTCTATGTTTTAGATCACAGAAAGAAACTGTATTGGGTTATTAGTACTGTAGAAGGATTAGTGTAACAGTGCAATGAAAAATAAATGCAAGGGTTTGGCGTGGAAATGATAGGGTGCTGGGCATTGAACTGTATAAAAATTTAACAAATTATTAATAATAACGCAAATGAGAAATTTAGACTTCTCCATACAACCTCTTGGTTATATGGAAAGAAAAAGGAAGAATGTGTGCTTTCTGATTTTTGTTCATACTCAGATACAGACAAAAGTAAAATCAAAACTTATGCTTTTTCTAAGGAACACATTTGCATAATTTGAAACAGAATTCATTTCTTAAGAAACTATTTTTTCTTTTTCTTGAGAATATTTGTACATACATTGACTTGTTAATTATTAGGAGATAACAATGGGATGGGCATACCATAGATTTCATTACAGTTTAGGATGCAAGGCCAATACCAGGGTTGACTAAATACCTGATCTCTTTAATCACTGCATCACTCATTTTACTCTTCATTGTCACTCCTAATCGGACAGGATTCTACTCACAATCCTTATAAACCAAAGAGAAAGACTTACCTGAACAGACCTCTTTGTAGGTAGGATTTGGAGTATACCCTCCTGCATAACCCACTTGAGTGGAGTAGACTCCCTTCTGTCTCCAAAACTTCCTCTCGGCTCCCCAGAAACAGCCCATACCTGAATATTGCATAAAGTACATATCGTTATGTCAAAATCTGCTCAATATTAAGTCACTCCTTTGCACATTAATTCACATAGTGGAAATAACATTTATAGCCAGCACATCATGGTTAAACGTTTTCCAAGATCCTGCATAGAGTAACTATAGTGAGAAATCCATTCTGCTTAAAAATTTATTTTTTATTATTTATGCTTCTGAATATTAACATATCACAGAGGACAAATCCTATAAATGTTCAAAGGCCCAAACAAGGAGAATTCTCATGCACATAAAAAAAGTTACTTTAAAAGGCAATTGCGCTATTTGTACAGCACCATTTTTACTTTAGTTGATTAGCAAGCTGTCAAAACACAATAATTTGTATTAATGGCAAACAGTTATTTAATTTTCTGCTTTCAAGCATATGCAGTCTTTAAAGGTGGCAGTAATAATGGATTAAATTATATGCTATACAGGAGGAAAAATGCTTTGCTTTAACAATTTATGCATGCAGATATTTGATGTTCAGACAAAATTTTGGTAGTCATTCACCCACATGGCCAATTATCAAAGGACAGCAGACTGTCAACAGGTGTAAATCAGCAAAATTCTCCCGGTAATAGGAATCAAGCACATTGTATGAAACCCAGAGGGAAGGAACAAACAAGAATAACATTCACAATTCTCTGATGGCTTAAATAATTAAGAGATGTTCGCTACGATGTGGAGGACTCTAAAGCTGAAACCTGTGATGTACACTCTAGTATTGTTTAGCTTATCCCTGATTATGGGAAAAGTATGTTCTATTTCAGTGATAACATACTTATTATTATTATTCCCTTACTAAAACATTAGAAATAAAAGGCAGTAAAAAATAAGTTAAATATTAAATACACTTAGAAATCAATGATCCATGATGGGTTTTCTATTGATAACACTGCAGATATGATGGGTTAAAATTTACAGAGATGTTCCTTCAAAGTACAACTAGAAGAACAAAGCAGTCCCTTCTATCAACTGCAATGGCTCACAAAGGCATATTGCTTCTTTGAAACTTTAGAGATTAGCTTCAAATTAAAGTAACTTATTTTGACCAACTCCTGTCTCTGCAGTTGCAATGCACCAAAAATACGGAAGTAATGACCCAGATTTCTCCTTCTAATTCAGGTGCTCAGGCAAGCTGCATAAATTAGGAGCCTAGCCTGCTCCTGGAGACCACAGAAAGAGGCAGGCATCTCCTGAGGACAATTCAGCCCACAGAAGATATAAATTGCTGATCAAATTACAGTCATTCTCCCTTGACTACGGAGATAGCTATGGCTATTAGACTTGGGTACCTCAGCTAAATTAGGCTGCTGGCAAACTGCTGTAGGACCTCTCTTGAAATTCCCTCCCAGTTTTGCAGAAAGAACAATCTAGAATTCTCATTTGAGAGAAATTTTTCAAGCACTCACATATCACCTAATGGTGATTTAAACTAGAGTGCATTTCTGTACCTGATGTCACTATTTTATCTCAGTTAAGTCTGGGAAGTTTTCCAGTAATTATGCCCCTAGGTCTCGTCAATTGAGATAGGGTGAGACAGTTTTCACACGTCGCTCTGCCTATGCTGCACAGTACAAGCGGCAGCTGTGGTCCTGTCATTGTCCAAATCAAGAGCATAACTAGAGAACATCAGCAATCCCTGACGCTCAGGTTTCCTTCCCACAGAAGTCAGAGACATATAAGGGGCACAGGGCATGCCCATGTTTCATCCCAACAGTCAGGTCACAGATGAGAGGGAGCCTGGGAAGTGCTTCTTGGTCCATTGTGAAGACAGCCTTTGAACAAATAGTTTAGACACAGCCTTTGAGTCTTTAACCAAATAATTGCTTAGAAGTGTATTTTTATCCGTATTTCTGCAAACGTATATGTAAAACTGTGAACACAGGTACGTCTGCAAGTTCCTTGTAAAAATAACACATGCATCCTGCCAAAATTCCTGTCACAATCCATTTGAGTGATGTGAAACATGTAAGCAATTAACAATACTTCAACACGGAGGGTATGCAAAATTCTTGACTCTTTTACACAGGGTGGGCATACGGCGATAAAGTTCAGAAGCAAACACAAGCATACACAGCTTGGGGTAGGAGGGCAAATTTCTGCTAAAATAAAACTCTTGAGCTTCATCATTCCTGTCTGCAGTTCTCTATTCCTCATGCCCAACATCAGAGATGTTGACTACATCCTCATATTGCTTTATCCATGAGGACATTTTGGAGGCATTACAGAATTAGACTGTGATGAAAAATCTATTTGAAAAGTGCATCTGATTTTGCTAAAGTCAACACAGAAGAGAAAACATAATATTTAAAAATCATGACTGGGACAGTTGTTTAATTACGTGGAAGGCCTATTGTATATCAAGTCTATCAGAGGTTCCAAAAAAAGGTATTTCCATTCCATTTCAAGATAGTGAAAAGTCAGGAACACAGCTTTTCCATGGCCATCCAGTCTGCTCTAACAGACTTTGTTCGTTCTGATAATCATAATTTACTCTGTCAACAGAAGAAAATTTTGTATTTAAATATACAACCCCAAAAGAGGAAGGAGGCAGGATCCACTTAAATCTTATCTATCTTAAATTTAGATATTCAACTACACACACTGCCCAGCTATTCTGCTTATTTTTTAGGACTGTTTAAACTTGGCGGTCTCAGAATTCATTAGGTTCTTCTCTACTTCCCATGACAGTGTTCACCCAAACATGTCGTCCTGAAAAAACAGGCACCTTTCAGTAGTTTTCTGGTGGTTGGATTTAGGTGGAGAGCAGAAGAGGGCATCAGAACTCACACAGAAGTGGGCAGACTATATTAGACTGCTTCCAATGATGCCTTTAATTTATTTTGTGGGTTGTTTGTTAGATCCTAAGTCTGTATCCGTATGTGAAGCATAGAAAATAAACTTCAGCCCAACACTAATACTTGAGTGCTGTGCATCCTTAATATTACAAGGGAAGTTTGAGCTCCAGCTGCCTAAAATCCCAGCTGGTTTGGCAGCAGGTGACGCTGAGACCCTTGCAGAAAGGACTCTGTAGCCAATTTATCAAACTAACGTTGGTTGGACAAGCATGCTGAGGGGTGGTGAATGAGCTATTTCATCTATGCCAAGGAATAGTACAGACCCAAAACTTCTCCCACAACGTATTGCTAGGCCCACACCTGAGTGCAAATGTGTAACCCAAAATTAAGGACACAACCCAAATTCAGGTTTGAGTTCAAATATAGGCCCAACTTCAAATACTAAGTAGAAGTGCTCATTCTTTTCCTATTTATGTCAAGAATTTTAATGCTCAATAAATCCCTAACTGCACTGTCTGAAATTACTGATCATCAGGGTAATGGCCCCAGACTCTCCTTGATCAATAACTATTATTTAGGATTCTCTCATTGATAGCCTTCTCTGACCTGTTGATTTGACGTAGGGACCTACATCCTCATCATGGTTTCTTTCACTTTTTCTTCTCTGTAACCAGTTTATGTCTGAATTCATTCTGGCCTCCTTCCCCTGAGAGACAGACATTTTATTCTCTTGGTGAACTATTCTCATCATTTCTCAAGTACGCTGGCACCTTGCACAAACAATAAATCCTCACATCCACGAGAACAGATAAAATTGAAGGCTTTGTCATAATAAAACAACCTGCTAGTAAAGGGACATAATTTACAACAATACAATACTAAATTGCTTTCCACAGTATTAATACATCCAGTGGTTGATGTTTGTTATTCTGCTAAAGTGGTGCCACGTTCTACGGAGAAACTGTCACATGGAGAGAAATATTAACAATAAAACCCACACAATATTCCGGAGTTAAGACACATAAGCTCATGGAATGCCTGTTCTTCAGAGCACTGGCTGCCTTAAGCCACATTTAACATGAACAATGATTACTAAAATAGGGAAATAATCTCAGTTCAAGACTTCACATGCTCTCCTAGTACAAAAAAGTTTATTTTCCCTAATTATTACTACTCTAGTAAGAAAACCGTAATAAATAATTAAAATAATTAAATCAAATAATCAAATAAAACTCAGAGGAAAAAAACAGTAAAAAACAGTAGGAAAAGACACATAAAAGCAAAATAAGCCACGCATATTATAATTTGAAACTAGAAAACATGAATGATTTTAAACTACTCATGAAATAATTTGCATAATGCCCAGTATTGGTGAAGTGAGTGCAGCTTTAGCATTAGTAGAGAGCTTCCAGAGGCATTCCTAAGAGAAAGGAAAAAAAAGGAAACACTGGGGAACATACTCACGTTCCCAGAAAAAGCATTATTTCAACATAATGGCTATTGCAGAATAGTGTTTAAGCATTGGAGATATTTGTCACTTTTTAATTGCTAATTTGTAAAACAAAAACTATTCTTTCAGTGATGGGTTTTGACTGACTCTTGATTGGAATTTCAAAAGGCATTTAAAGTTTTTTTGCTTTTGAACTTCAAAACCAAACAGATTCAAATGGCAATCATCTTCAAAGGTTCATTCATCCCTAGAAATAATATTAATCATACAATTTGGGAATAAATGCTAGTACCCCTATTCCTTTCTAGCACCCACATTCATTTTCTCAAACTATTCTTTTTATATAACCATACACATCTATACCTTCTGAACAACTCTTTTTGTACACAGCCCAACGCTCAGCCAAGGAATATGTGTTTCCATAGGCAACCCAGATCATTTGCATATTTGCAAGAAATACTTAGCATAAGCTGAAGTATTTTTCTAAAATAATGAAAGCAAAGTGTTACTCTGGTAAGAGAGGTAAGCATCCCATTGTTAAAGATAATCTGTAATAATTTTTAAATATTCACAGAGCAGAATTGAACCCCAGGTGTTTACTTTCTAGTGAGATGAATAGCTTTACAGATTACGTTAACCATATTGACTAGGTCTCCATTGACTGCAACAGGAGCTCATACATTCAGGGATTAATTTATTTGCCTAAACGGAGATATCCAGGGTCATTTGTGATGCCT